AAACCTACACGGGTTCAGGGTTGAGGGCTTTCAGTTTAGTGTTTGGGGCCTAAAATCTTCTACCCGGATTCTACCCTACACCCGAAACCCTAAACCCTAAACCCTGCACCCGCAACCCTAAACCCTAAACCCTACACACGAAACCCTAAACCCTAAACTTTAAACCCTACACCCTAAACCCTAAACCCTAAACCCTGCACCCGAAACCCTAAACCCTAAACCCACCCTAAACCCTAAACCCTAAACACTAAACCCGGAAGCACTCGGCCTCTGCCCGGTGACGATGACGAGGTCATCGTCGGGCTGCATCCGATCGAGGCCATCCTGCGGTAGTTTGGGGTTCAGGGCGAAGAAATGCTTAGGGTTTAGGGTTTAGGGTTTAGGAATTAGGGTTTAGGGTTTAGGGTTTAGGAATTAGGGTTTAGGAAGTAGGGTTTAGGAATTAGGGTTTAGGATTTACGGTTTCCAGGGTGTAAAGGAGGTTTGACAGAGTTTAGCGGAGTTTATGGTGCTATTGCGGCTTTCAGAATTCTAGAAAAAAGGGTGTGGGGGGGGATAGGTACGTTATAATTATAGCACAATGATGTCGGGACACCGTAAACCCTAAACCCTAAACCCTAAACCCTAAACTCTAAACCCTATGTGAGGAGCTTGGATCTTAGGCGTTGCAGGCGGCGGGTTGCTCTTAGGATGGAGTTGGGGCCTTTGGGGCTTCGGGTTTAGGGTTTAGGGTTTAGGGTTCAAGGGTTCAGGTTTGCGGCCCGAAACCCTAAAACTTAAATTCGACACCCTAAAACCTTAAAACCCCAAAACTCAAAACTTAAATCCGACACATCCTGAACCCCGGACCTCGAGGCGCTTGGGGACGGCAGGGCTGCGGCGTAGTACGGTGTAGGGTTTAGGGTTTTAGGGTTTTAGTGTTTAGGGTTTTGTCGGAGCTGTTAGTGGGAACATCCCCCTTGCCGTCCCCATGCATAAGAAAGCTAGAACCCGAATAGGGTCCCGAGTTCAAGGATTCAAGGGCAGGCAGCCAGAACCAAGGAGGCCAAGTGCCAGAGGAAACCCGAAAATCGTGGGTTCGGAGGTTTACGGTTTTCCGGATCGGGCCTGCGGACCGCGAAGCGAGACACATGGCGACTAAACGAATTCCACTGAAGAAGCATGTCTGGTCAGCCAGCATTTGTCCGTCTGCGGGAGCGGCGACGAGCTAACCACAGCACCACAAAATTTTATGCAACATAGGGAGAGGATTTTTGACGGAGAGCTTCGCAGTGCAGGGCTTAGGGCTTTAGGGATTCAGGCTTTAAGAGCCCTGAACCCTAAACCCTAAACCCTAAACCCTAAACCCTAAACCCTAAACCCTAAACCCTAAACCCTTGCCTTTCCGCGTTTTGAATAGGTTTCGGAGTTCAGGGTGCTGCATGGGCCTGGCAAATGTAAGGAAAACTTGAACTGAGAGGCTTCTAGAAGGATGCAGTGCCCAGAGAGCCCTTAATCAAGGGAATACACCTTAAATCATAAAACAGTATCGTTAAGGCATATGTCCCTGAATTAAGGAATACACCTTAAATCATAAATTGTGTCGTCAAGGTATATATTCCTGAATTACGGGTATGGGGCTCTCTGGATCTTGCGTTTGGTTTGCATCTTGTCAGAATGCTCCAATGTTAAAGCCCCAGACCGAAACCCTCAATGCGACTCCAAGAAATCCTCATCCCTCCGAGACGGCATCCTCCCACGAAACGGAAAGGAAGAACAGTGGAATAGGGCTTGGGGTATATGATGGTGTAGTTACACGAGGACTACAAGGGGTACTATCACTCGCTATTCCGACCCTCAAGAAAAACAACTACCATAAAAACCCCAAACAAACCACAAAACAATGAAACCCCATAACACCCTCATTCAAAAATGACTATCATGGTATACTTACAGCAAGGAACCCTCAGGAATCGTACTGGTAATGGCTCAAGGCCTAAACCCCAAACCCTAAAACTTAAACCCTAAACCCTAAACCTAAACCCTAAACCCTAAACCCCAAGCCCTAAACCCTAAACCCTAAACCCCTTCTACGTGACTTCGGCCAGGGAGTCCAGCATGGCCGCTGACACGGCCAGGCGCGCCAGCTGGGAGGGAAGACCATGCCTGGGCTTCGGGGGGTTTTTGACGGTTTAGGGTTTTTGGGGGTTGAGGGTTTAGGGTTTTTGGGTTTAGGGTTCTAGGTTTTAGGTTTAGGGGTTTATTTGAGGGTTTGAGGGTTCAGGGTGAGGACTTTAGGGCTTGAGGGTTTGAGGGTTTGGGGTTTAGGTTCGGGTTTGTAGGGGTTTAGGGCTTTAGGGGTGAGGTTTTACGTTTAGGGTTTACAGGGGCTTCGGATTTCGGGTTTAGGGGTTTACGTTTAGGGTGAACAGGGGTTTAGGGTTTTAGGGGTTAGGGTTTAGGGTTTGAGGGTACAGGGTTCCGTAAGGGCTCTATATACGAGAAGGTCGAGGGGTTCGAACTTGTACTTTAGGGCCTCCGGGGTTTTGGAAATTTGTGACGGCGGGCCGCTTGAATGTTAATTAAGCGGTTTAGGGTATGGAGTTCTTGAAGTTTCAGGGATCAATGCTTGATTGAAAAATGCCTTTTTTCTGAGCCGTGATTCTGCTCTGCAAAGGAGAGGGTTTAGGAGCTTAGGGTGTCTAGCACTTTGTGCTTGCCGTTGAGAGGATGGCGCCGTGCGGCCAGCAGAAACGATTTCTGTGAGTGAGAGGCCTCGACTTTAGCGTTTAGCGCTTGGTTTCCCACACCGCCTCTGCTGCCTTCTTGAAGTATGCCTCTCGACCGTTTCATGAACACTGCAAGCGCCCTGCGCAAAAGCCTCCATGATGGATCCAGAATGATTAGAGCCTTCCCTAAGCCCTAAACCCTAAACCCTCAACCCTAAACCCTAAACCGGGCTATACATACTATGGATTGACTCCCCCCAAACCCCAAGGAAACCAATTTAGGCTCCCGGCAGGTCGATTGTGTGCGCTTCGCGTTCATGCCAGGGCTTGTGGGATCCTTCTGCTTCGGCTCGTCTCTGCGACGGTTTATCGTGAACCCCAGAAAGTTTCAACATGGATGTGGGATGATTAGTGCACACACACAGAGACCACCAGACCCCAACCACACCCCCCACCACACCCCAGGTTTGGGCCAGATCAGGCCCACAAAATCTAAATATCTGGAAAATTTAGAGCCCCGCCAGCATCATGCCACCACACACCCCCACCACACCGCCCTCCACAAGATACTCTGGGATTCCCTATGCTTTACCTTACGGGCATGAGGATCATGATGTTCCAACTCTCTGGCTTCTACTCTATGGATCTGTGAGGCAGGTCCTCACTACGAGTCACAGCTCCTTGCAGGCAGAGGAGGATGACAAAGGCTTTAGACTAGGCATCCGAGGCTTCAGGGTTTAGGGTTTAGGATTTAGGGGTCAGCTTTGGCTTAAAGGTCTTGTGAGCATATCCATCGCATCCCTCCGGACGGCAAAAGCCCAGGAAGCTATTCTTCAAAGGCAATTGCACTCCATCCCCATGCACAGCATAGAGCGAACAAAACAGTTTAAGGTTTAGAGGTTGTGAAGGACCACGCGCAGGCCTGTGTCCAGGATCTCTCGATACAGCGACAGGGCCTGTCCGATACGAGCATGTTGTTGGAACCACGCTAAAATTCCCTTGGCCCCGGCACTCCGACTACTACACAAGTAGTCGTAAGAAGCAAGTACTAGCAGCAGCAGTAGTACCTTTGATGGAGAAAATCTTGCACCACCTATTTAATAGCACATGACACGCCACACAAGCATAACCCCGCATCCCCTTTTCTAATACTGACGACGGTGGATACCGAGGTGGTGCAAGACTTCTGTCATTGGAAGCCACGGCGGTTTGGAGGATCAAGAGGCAATATTAAAAAGGGGACGCGGGGTCTCTGCTTTCTTCGACCACTTAAAGTGGTGCAAGATTTCCTCCAGCAACAGTCGTCATCGTCGTCGTCGTCGTCGTCGTCGCAGTCGTAGTCGTAGTCGTAGTCGTAGTAGTAGTAATAGTAGTAGTAGTAGTAGTAGTAGTAGTAGTAGTAGTAGTAAAAATAATAGTAATAGTAGCAGTAGGAGTAGTTGTCGTTGTTGTTGTTGCAGTAGTAGTAACAGCGGTTTTCGTCGTCAGCATCGGCAGCAGAGGCGGCGGTGGTCATGGTCGTGTTGTTGTTGTTGTTGTTGTTGTTGCTGCTGCTGCTGCTGCTGCTGCTGCTGCTGCTGTCGTTGTTGCGGTTGTGGTTGTGGTT